TTGTGATTACTCGACATCATTGGTGCGTCGGTGGCACAGTGGTTAGGACTCTCGCCGACCATGCACATGGTCCGGGGTTCGACCCTCTGCCGGCGCACACCCGATATCTGGGGTCGGCCTGCATAATTTGGGCTACCGATATCCAAGCTGAAAATTCCATACCTGTACCTAAAAATACGGTGTGGCATTAAGCTGTAATCAAAAATATAAATAAAATAAATATAAATATAAATATCCACGACGTAAATCAAAAGGCACTTGAGAAGGAGTACGAACGTGTATTATCTCAGTAATCAAAATTCAAAAGTTGAGCGAGTACAGTGTATCAATTGATAACACGCAATCTTGATATTGATAAACAAATCAAAGTCCAATTACATAGCGAAAGTATACTACGATGATGAGTAATGAAATGGGTTGTTACACCACCACTCCGGTGGCATCAAATGAAATGGTTGACTTACAACTCACAACTAATACTTGTACTTCAGCCAGACTGCGATGGATTAGCAGTAGAAGACACTGTTGTGGCTAGGTGTTCTGAATGGTGGATACAAAGGAGGCGCCTGACTAATATCATCTATAGTGGGTGATTTGTAAAAATTCCTTGTTACCGTTGGTTAGTGAAAAGTTTAGGAAGGGGATGTACTTGTTCCTGTCGACTTCATATGATGTGTGGTAAAGATAAAGAATATCTAATAAGGACTGTGATGGTAACTGTGAAATGTTTTGTAGGAAGACTTTATTTCTGCCAAGAGCTGATGAACTACAGATTGCAGATTAATGTGTCTAGGAGATAGGAATATTGCTCTAAGACATGTATCTCAAAGTTACATCGATAAAGCCTTTAGTGAATGAATTAAGATATGTATTAACGCATCTAGTGGACATGGAGGTCCAGTACTACAGACTAGGATCTGAATATCACTTGATCCAAAAAGATGCCGAATTGGCTCCACGACCTTCAACTTGACAGCTGAGTGAGACATGTATTGAAAGATGAAAGTGGGGCGCCTTTTTTACTAGTTGCGGTATAATGAGCAACTCTCCGAACTCAGAAGATATTCTGGGCCTTAAACTAGACAAATGTTTTGCTGATACTATAATTAAGACAGGTTTGACATAAATATTTTTCTGAAGTTATTTTAAGGGGCGGGTTTATTTGGGGGAGTAATTTTTTCCGTTCTGTTTACTAAAAGTAGGTGATTGCTAACGGAAATAGTCATTTTTCAGGACGTCCGTGGCCCCTTATTTTTGGATCAGGCTTTGGGCTTGGGATGGGAATTTCAAACTGTAATAATGATTTTAAGCAGCCCTTGCCATTAGTATCTCACCGGATTGTGGTAAGTTCATCGCTGTTTTCGTACATTCCTTTAGAAATCAGATGGACAAAAGGATTCATGATGCTGTCAATTGACTCTCCTAGTTGTTAATACTACATGTCTGTATGACACGAGAAGGCTGAATGGTCCTATCGGGTCGATAACTTTATCTTAACCTGTAGATTATTAAATGAAAATTACCTTGTGAAAACTGAGTTTTGATTTGTTTTGCTTGTGATGAGTATATTTTTCAGTTCAAACATTTCATAGTTCTCCGAAATGTAAATTTAGACTAAGACTGATGAGTGCATGTGCCATCTTGTTATTAAGGAGTTTAATGTTGCCCTAGTATTTCCGGTTTTGCGTTGTGAACTTGGACGGTGTAACTTTTGTAAATGAGGAGTGCCATATGTTCGTCAGTTATTGATCTGTGGTTGCACTATTCTGCTGCATATTCTGTTATCCACCGGGAAACTAATGAACCACCACAAAATAGAAAAATCGAAAAGTGGAGCTTGCTTATAGTATGAGCACGTATGGTCCTGTGGTGTATCTTGTTCCTAACGTCATTTAATCAAGATATATATCTGACTGTTTCAGGTATTGTAACCAGACTGGATTTTGAAAGTTATTAGCACTAACACACAGAAAGAAACCTCTGTATAAATTGACTCTTTGTATACACGTTGTAGACAAATAGTAAATGGTTGAAGGCAAATTACCAAAAATAAAAGGAAAATGTGGTTAGTTCATGTCAGTAAGCTCAAAGTTGTCCATAAATTTACAGTTTATATTTTGTCATCTGGTTCACTATCAGCGATCATCCACACTCTTCACACCTAATCCAGACAGGTATCCCTTTTGTCGATAAGCACGATGTGCTTCAGTTTTTCTGACCAACACTCGTTGAAATGCTGATGTATGTATAAGGCAAATAATGAGTAAGAAGTGTGTTGCTCCATGATGACAGTAGAATAATTAAATTAAATGATCTAATTCACTTAATGCAAAAAGAAGGCAGTCATAGATATTTGTGATTTAGTCAGTGAGCCGCATTTGATATATGGTAGTTAGTGATATTGCATAGTTTCACAAACCTAAATAACTGGACTAGATTTCATCCATATCACTGGTTTAAGTTTGACTGCATAGACCAACTCAGTCTGGTCATATGATGACCACGTTCCTACCTACCTCAGTCAAACCGAAGTGTAACAATGACTATTAGTCTTCATCATACTGAGACATGAGCTACTGCACCACAAAATAGCTTACATGGTGTCACCACTGGATTCAAGCAATCATGCTGGGAAAGTATAGATCAGACATGAAGTAGCCAAACCAGCTTATCACTGACTACATAACAAAGCCACTGTAGCGACGGCGCTTTATGTTAATATGTGTATCGCTGTCTTTTGGAATACAGCCAGAAATAAGATTTCATCGATTAACTAGAACTTAATGTAAAAGATTCGGTTACGTGTCTCTTATTCACATGACAGTTGGGCATTACCCTTAATGTTTGCAATGAAATAGTAAACTGGATAGTAGCGGAATGTTGTAGTTCAGTAGGTAGAGCACTGGGCTAGTGGCTGGTTCCAGCTTGCATCATGTCTTAGACCATTATCTGGATATGGCTTCAATAGAACATCTCCGTTTTGTCCTGTTCTCTGAAGTCCTCTTCATCTGGCTCCACGGTTGCCCATAAACTTTCAACTCCCTACACGATCTCCATGTCACCCTCAGACATTCGATTCGTCATTCCCTACTCGTGTTCTACTTAAGCTAAGGCCTGGCGTGCTATGTCACCCAACGGTCTCTTTAGAGTGTGTCCGATCCATTAGCATTTTCTCTTACACATTTGTTGAGCTGATGATAAAAGTCTGAAGTCTGTTAGAAATGCTTTTCGTGACGCGCACGCCAAGTTCCTGACTGAACACTGGCGTTGAAAATCCGAATTTTGTTCTTTATGCTGGGTGCAGGAGATTTCCAAATTGATTTTAGAGTGATGATGGTATGCTTTACCTTTCCAATTCTGGTTTTGACATCTTCATCCGCTCTGTCGCCTGCAGTTAGGATGACAGCCTAGATAAGTGAAGAGTGACCCCATTCCGTCGATAGAGATTGGCGCACACCCGATATCTGCAAAATTGGGCTACCGATATCACATGCTGAAAATTCCATACTTGTACCAAAAATACGGTGTGGAATCAACAAATTAATATTGTTGGTTGGTTATTTTCATCACCTCCATCTTCTCTATGTCCACTTGAAGTCCTATCTTTGTTACTTCTTGTATTCTCACGTCTGTTTATTTTGAGGGATGCTTGTTACGTTCACATAATTACTGTCAAGGTGAATTTTGTCACGAACTAACATCAGTTAGACAACCATTAAAAACGACTTGCTGGCAGAGTCAGGGTCTCTTATGCAATGCTCATGCATGGTTTCAACACAGATTGAACCCACTACTTTTAAGTTGAAATCTAAAGGCCTAAGAATTCACTTTCACCACTCCCCGATACAGTGCCACTGACATACAGTGTCATCCGCGACTATCTGTTCTCACACTCAACTTAGTTGATCCCACCGTTTAGGACATGTCACTGGAAGTATACGGGAAGTACATCCCGTATTCAGTGTATTGGTTTAATTATCATTTTTTAAGGTTTGTGGTGATTTCAGTGAGTTTTGGAATAAATTCTGTGCCATCTTTATGAAGAATGGCTAACAGTAAAAAAGTTAATACTGACGAAGTTATAATGTGATATGTACCATTTTAATCATTAGCTATTAGTCCGAGTTATATAAGCTACTTGGCTTTGGTTCACGTAACAGTCGATAAGGTTCAGAGATATATCCGTACCTTATTTTCATCTTAGTCGTATTGATTTATTGAATAACTGAATGGACGATCTCATCATGAGCTGACACCAGTTAGAGAACCATTGGAAAACCTGTCGGGAGTACTGGACAGCTGTTTCGTGCTAGTTTGAGACTCTTCATCAGAACGCACCCACCGGGATTCAAACCCACTACCTTCTGGTTACAAGGCAGAGCTCGTAGACCATTGAGCCACTGGGACCCGATCCAATGGCCAGCCCATGAATTCTAACTTCTGCCAATTCACGGTATAGCACGACCATTTCGCAATGTCTAAAAAACCAATATTTGAAAATTATTGAATAATATCCTTTCCAAATATGATATTACGTAACTTTTTGGTTGTGTGAATTTTCGCTTTTATACATTTTTATTCCCACTTGATGTACACGTTTGAGAGTAGGAAGTTAAAATATGAGTTTTATTATGTTCTTGATTTCTGTTCGGTGTTTTCGTATTCTAGTTTATCTGATTCTGGTATTTATTGGTCTATCCTATTTCGTCGTGGAATGTGACGGTTTTAAAATATTAGACTTTTGTGTTAAGTTTAGGCATTAGTTTTGTACTGATTTTCTTGTACCCCTAGTCTTAACGCTTTAATAATTCCACAATGATACCAGGAAAAAATAGTTGATTTGCGCTATTGGTTCTATTTATCCTTACGTTTCTAACGATGTAAGTTTGATTTTCTTTTCCTAATACCCTAGTAGTTAGTATATATATTAGAAACTAATGATATGTATGTGATTTCTAAAAATTATGATTTCTTTGTTTATTTCTTACTGAATGTTATCAGGTTTCGGAAATGTTTTAACTCTTTTATCGAAAAATCAGTCACTTGTTGACTATTGATCATGGTCTAAAGCAAAATGTTATTTAGCTGAACATGTTTTCTCATCGTATTCGATTGTTCAGTTCAGTTTGCTCTAAAAGTTCGCTGATATTCTCCAATGGTGGTGATGCCTGGCTTCCTGCTGGTTGTTGTAAACACTTTTCCAAAATATCAGTGAAGGAGTCTGAAAGCACTCATAGTTCTAATCAAGTGAAGTCGGAAAGTTTTTATAATAATACCACACAACCATTTCACTGTCCCTCAAATATTCAACCACCAAGATTAAAACCCAAGTCAAGTGATGAAACGCCTTTGGAATTGAAATATCGAAAAGTCTATGAAGAAACTTGGCGTTGGCTGGATGAATACTGGTCTGCATACAATCTTTCCTACTTAAAGGTATGGTTTTTCATTTACTATCTGTTGTTTTATTTTGTTAAAAAATTAGTGGTGAAGATCAGGTTGAAGATAAACTTAGGCGTCTTCGATCCAGTCAGTTTTCGGTGAGGCTAAACTACACGTAATGACTTCGAATAACAAACTAGAGAGCAGGGAAAGAAAAAAAAGGCATTGAGGAAAAAATTACAGTTCTGTTTAAGGTGTGTTACATAGGATAATTCTTTATATGTTGCAATAGAATGGTCCACTTTACCGTAAGAGTTCCTGTTTAGAGGTTAAGGCAGATTCGATAAAAGTTAAATAGTTGACACCCTAGTGGCCAATTTCGCAGAATTCTAACTCCTTTTTTGCCCAAATACATTTTTCATTTAGCTCACGTCAAACGTCGTTGGAGGTCTTGCTACTTGTGTTCATAAAATAAAACATTGTTGAGATAGATTTCACGTTTTTCGTTAGGTTGATGTCAAAAGTCCTGCTTTACATTATATACAGCGAGGGTTCAAGTACTAATAATGATAACCTGACTGAATGAGTTTCAACACGGAACTTTGCATAGAAGAGCAGCAGTTCAAGTCACCATATTCCATTTAAAATAAAAAGGTAGAGAAAAGGAAGGAGTTCAAAAGAACTATAAGATGAAGAAACGTACAGGGGGAAGAATAATTACATGAATAACTTGGCCACTGTTGCAGTATGTAATTCCATTTTTACACAGTGAAACCGTATTATTGCCTGGATGATGTTTGGAACACCATTTATTGTTCATAATTATACCAGTTCTAACTGCACAACTCTCATTTTATGTAGTCTTTTTATTCCTTCCTATTCGTCGTAGGGGTAGTAAAATTCTACAGATGTCTAGGACTGGTGTTAAATCATTCTTATTACACGTATTCTTTCTAATTTGATTCCACAAATAAAGCTTCCGTCATCAATCTCTCCCTCTGCCCTGTTATATAAGATTCTAAAACTGTCATCTTATCCCACCCTATTGAATGGTCGTGTGTAATTGCATGTAGTGAGTGCTATGGCTGGGCTATTCTCCAGATTTCTTACCTTATTAGGGTCAACTAATCTAGATTTTGCTAGATTTTTGTGCTCCGCTGGCTTAATCGATGCTGTTCAACTACTTTGACCCATGTATTTGACCTCCTTTATGGCTGTGAGACCTGGCCATTGTGAGTAGAAGACATGAAAAGACTAACTGTCTTTGATCATAGGTGCCTGCTTTCTATCTCCCGTGATATTTGGTATAATAAGGTAAGCAATATTGAGGTTAGGCGTCGATTGCTAGATAAGGAAGGGAAATCAATCAACGAGGCTGTGAAGCTACATCGACTGAGATGGTTAGGATATGTGTTACGTATGCCTAGTCATCGCCTTCCTCAACGGGAAATGTTGGCTGACATAGGGTCAGGCTAGAAAAGAGCCATTGGCGGTCAAACCAAAACATGGCTTCACCAGTCAATGAAATCCACAAGAGTTAGTTTAAACCAGCCACGTAGTAAGGTGTAGACTTCCTGACTGGTTGGGGTCCTCGGGACGGTAAAACCAATGTCTGGAAACAATCGGTGATATGACTGCAAATCGTTCTCAATGATGCGAATGCATCCACTCCTTGTGACTTATAATTTCCAATAAAACTGTATTGTTGTTCGTTATTACTATTCCTTTTGTCTCATATCCCTGTTTGCTGTCTCTATTTTGCATTTCTTTTACTTTCTTCTCGTTTTGTGTGCTACATGGAGTGTGGCGATGTTAACTTCTGCACATTGGTGCAAAGTTCTATGTTGAAAACAGACAGACAGACATTTGACCTGATAATCAATGCGGGGTATTAGATAAACTAAATTGTTTTGTTTAATTGGCTCCATAGGATTTATCCTTTAACCGCCAACGCTTGTTTCTAATTGATTTTGTGGGTTTGAATGCCACTTTTATTCCTGCATTGTTAAGAATTCTACGTAAATTTTCATAGGTTGCTTCTTTGCATGGAAGTACTACTGATGGTTACCATGGGGTACATGGGCTCCAGAATTCAATCGGATCATATGGCGTATGAACCCATATGGGTCACCGGCAACATGGGAACGCAGCTCCTGATGCTGCTCCGCTGCTTTGCGGATTAGACTCCAAGTCAAAGGCTCGGGGGGTGGTCCCTTAAGAAAACCACCTGCTTCGGTCGGGGCACCCGGGCAGTATCTCAGCCGTCACACAATATTGTGTGGCGCATCTTTCTTGGTGCCATATTGTACCAAGTTTTTCTGCGTTTAAATAATGATAATAATACTACTGATGGTTTAAATTCGTTATTGTTATTGTCGTTAGTCACACCTTGCTGATCAATCAATGTATATAGTTAATCTTAATTTACGTAGCCATATAAATGATAGGCCTTCAGGTGAACATAGAGAAAAAAGAGGTGATGAAGATTCCTGGCCAACAGCAACAACAGCAGCAACAGACAACAATCAGCATAAATGGAAGAAACCTGAAAGAAACAACCTCCTTCACCAACCGACCTAGGAAGCATCGTTTCAACTACAGGCGGACGGAACTGACGAGGATATCAAAGCAAGAATCGGGAAAGCAAGACAAGCTTTCATTCCTTTCAAGTCTGTGTGGAGGTCAACAGCACTCAGCATACAAAATAAGGCCGGGATTTTCAACTCCAATGTGAAGTCAGTGCTACTATACGGATCAGCGACCTGGGGCCTTCGAACAAACTACAGACCTTCATCAACAGCTGTCATCGCTGGACACTTCGCTCAAGATCAGATGGCCAGGAAAGATCAGCAACAGTGTGAGATCTCTGGGAACGAACCAACCAAGAATCAATTGTGCAACCAGTATGCAGGAGGAAATGGAGGTGGATTGGCCATACTCTGAGAAAACCATCAATTGACATCACACGACAGGCCCTCGAATGGAACCCGGACGGGAAGCGGCGAGTTGGTCGTCCAAGGAAGACATGGAGGAAGTCGTGTGAAGAGGAGATGAAAGCATGTGGGTAAACGTGGAGCCAGGTGAAAACGTTGGCAGAGAACCGAACGCAATGGATACGTGCGGCTGAAGCCCTATGTTCCTCTAGGAACTAAAGGAAACAATAATAATAAATGACTCACTTATTAGAGGTGTTGTTACACTACTGAGTAATTGATGCATAAAAGAAATAAACACGACGCTTTCCATCCAGCCGATTTTCATGTTTTATATTGTCCTTTTGTTTTTGTGAGCTATTTATTAGGCAAATGATTTATGACTAGGTGTTTATCATTTTGGGCAGCGGACAAGGTGTGTATCAATATTATGAAAGTTGTGCAGGTATGCTTTGTGATAATGGTTTGTAAATGTCACAGTCACTAGCATCTACACATGATTATGGCTGAATATTTGAGTTATTGACAAGTGGTGGTGATTGGCTTCACCGGTTACTGTCCATTGGATGACAGTCTAGGGAGATGGCTAAACCCTGATTCCAAATCTTCAACGACTGGCGTATGAAGCTCACTGGAGCTCACTAGCAGACGTATGGACAAAGGGCTTGTTGGATGTCCTGGATGTCTGGCCCCATTCAAAAAGGCGTATGAACCGAACTCTGGTCACCGGCTGCCAATGGATAGTGGACTCCCTACTCCACTCCTACTGCCTTGTAGGTCACACTTGGTTGTGTAAAGGCTAGAGCTGCACTCTCAAACAAAAGGCCAAGCGATCTGGACACACTCATACCAAATTCCCATGAAACTTCATGAACTATCTTACAAACTCAGATCGCCGCGCCTGGGCAGCGATGATTTGAGATGTTCATGAAGCCGGCTCATCCTCCCGTAGGAGATAGCCGAAGTAAAGTAAAAAGTAAGTAAGGTGGTGATTGGGCAGATTTTGTTACTCTTCATGTTTATTATTTTTTTTATTGTAGGCAAAGAATGCATTTCTGGCAAGACAGAACATGAATATCAAAGATGTTAAAGCTGATGATTCATGTGAACGTAAAGTAGTTACTGATCTGGGGGCATTCCATCGGCAGTTTTTGGAGGAGAACAAACAGAAGAGGATTCACTTTAACCTGTATGTACTTAGTTCTTGATGATCAGAAATATTTGAATTATTTCATGCTTATCACTGACTGTAAATAAGTTAAACAAACTTGATGTCTGAAATTTTAAGACTACCAGACTGTTTACTTGTTGTGATTAAACCTTACCACAGAGTGATGCGAAACCATCTGTTAAACCAAGTGTCTAATATAGAGTCTGCTAATGGAATCATCACCGAATAAGTTAAGCTTATGGATTATATATCTATATCTTATACGGGAGTTTGTATAATAAGGGTGCGCCAGTGGTTCACTGGTGGGAATACTCATCAAGCAAGCGGACGTTTCGGGTTCGATTCCCTCTTGACGCACTCTTAAACCTCGCTTAACCGGTGATGAGACTGGTAAAGAGAATAGGTTGAATGTAGGGCTAGCAATCTTATCCTGCAAAAACAACACGACCGCTTCTGAACTTCAAAGCTCAAGCTTGAAGCCCTAGTTTCCATTCGCAACACAAAGAAATGATTGTGTTAGAAAATCTGTAGAAAGCGATTCCTATTCGCGTTGTAGTGGATTAATTAACTAATCAGTAGACCAGATCACACTAAAACTGAGAACACATGTTAACTGAGATTCGTAAAAACCTATATTTCTGAGTTTAATTGGTGGATGGTGACTAGCAGTGGAATCCAGGACAACAAGCATTTCGTCCTATTTGGGACTCGTCAGCTGGATGCGCCTGCATTCCCCAGTGAGTGATGATGTTCCCACCGAGGCTCGAACCCAGTGCCCATAGTGGATAACGCTTTGGCGTTTGAAACTATGAGCACTGGGTTCGAGCCTCGGTGGGAACATCATCACTCACTGGGGAATGCAGGCGCATCCACTGCTGACGAGTCCCAAATAGGACGAAATGCTTGTTGTCCTGGATTCCACTGCTAGTCACCATCCACCAATTAAATTCTAATTAAATACCCAGACATCGTTGAAGCATGTGCACAAGAAGCCGACATGTGAACCTGAGACCGAGCGCTTCGGTTCAATCAGTCGACGGGAAAATCTAAAATTCAACTATCTTCCTGAGGTTCTAAATTAATTTCTATTCATCGAGTTGAGTGGAGAATAAGCACTTTCTTCATAAAAGCGGTTAGGTTTAAAAACAGATACACACATCTGCTAATAGTCACAATCTTTATCATTGCTATGCCTTCATTTTACTGCCGATTTATCTTGTTTTATATTTTTGCTAATATTGACTGAAGTGAGATTGCTGCTACCCATAATGAATGCTAAATATTTCATTAAGCACTACTTCGAATTAGGTTGATATTATCTAGCCTGGTATTTTAGTTGATAAATACCTCAATGTTAATCACACTAAATATAGTTAGTACGGAAACTTCAGATTTAACTGTAGATGGATAATATTTGGCTACTTTATTGGAATATAAACTGAGCGAGAATGTGAGAGAGTATTTAGCATCATGTTGACTGATATTTCGGTAAGACGAGTAAAGGCCGAAGTCGCCCCCGTAAACGACCTGCTTCTGCCCAGTGCTCTGAATGTCAAAGTGAAGAAATTCAACCAAGCGCGGGTGAACAGCGGGAGTAACTACGACTAACCGCTGCAACATACGTTAATCCTTATCATAAACCATTTGTGCGACCGGGTAAAATCGTTGCGAATAACAGTTGCGGCGGCGGGTTCCGTTTCTGCTAGGATAGTGGTACTGACATGTAGCTATGACTGGTGGAATTAGGGCCTGTCGTTCGCCGAAATCATCCGCAGCCTTTGAAATATAAGTAAAAGTTGTGGATTACGGTCCTATTAACGGCTCACGGCACTGTCAGTTACTGGCAGGCCGTAGTTGCTCGGGGAGGTAAAATATGTGCCTTTCTCCAGCTTTGGAGCATCATGTTAAAGTTGAGGGATGTTGAATAGACCCGGCCACTGCTGAGGCAAAGAACGCTTCCTAGAAATTATGGGTTGTCGGACAAAACACCTATCCCGAAAGATGGTTCTGAGCCGTACGCTCAAAATAAATATGTTAAGGGCAGACTTCGAATTTCCTCTCGAAATGTTGCCGCACACATTCATAATCTCTACCTGGTAAGTCCTGTTCACTGCTTTTACGCCATGGCGGGGTCGTTCCTCACAAAAGTAAAAGAGCGAATGTAGACGTCTGGCGCTTGCAACCAGACTGGTGGAAATACAGGTCTACCACCTACCTAGGGGGTGGGGGTTGGAAAACCCTGTTTCCAAACCTATGGTGTACATGGATATCAGAGTCCGAAATGAACAGATGGCCTCTGAAAGCTGATTCACTTCCTGATGGACCAGACTTCACGTCAAAGGTTCGAGGGTGGACTCTTAAGACAACCATCTATTTTGGTCCGGGCAATACTCCAGCCTTCGCACAAACTATAAGATTTTGTGTGGGGTCTCTCTTGGTACCCATAATGTACCAAGGTTGTGATTTTTAACAATGACTAAAGTCACCACTGAGTCACAGTAGACTTCTATCTTTTGATATCTGTCTTTAAATCCTGCCTTCACACAAGTTTCGCCTTAGTTTTCACCAGCATCCCCTCACAATAAAGCAGTCGATTCAACCAAGATCATAACAGATAGTCTAATCAATAGTTTTTTTTTTTCTAAAAATTTGTTTCTTTTTCTTACAGTCAATGGTACCGACGTATTGCTTATATTGTATACCTCAGTATTTTGGTCGATTTCCAACAGGTCTACAATCGTCTTCATTATAAGTTATTTCCAAAACAAAAAGATTTGAAAATATCAGTGGTAAAGAAGGGCGACGGGAAAGTTACTTAGTCAATTAGCAGCCTTGTTTAACTACTTGTAATTTCTTTTTGTACATGCCTTTTTTAGATGACAATAAATATTTTTCAAGTACTTCATATTGGCTTTCATTTTATGTTTTATTTTTAAGTCGTTAATCCATTTTAAGAACTTCTACATTTCTTTGGAAAAAAAAATATATATGTATATATATGGGGTCTCTTGTCCAGCATCCAGTACCTACCTGAACGGGATGTCGAAATCAGTCCTCCCGCTGTGACTCTAATTTAAAAAGCTTTTTGTAATCTGAAAGAAGAAGGCAAATTAGTGGGACTTGGTGGAGTGATTTCAGAGATTTTTAAGGATTGTGTTGATGAACTGTTGTCTGGGGTTAACTAAAATATTAGGCGATGTTCGGTAATCAGAGACAGTTGTGTAGGACTGGTGTGAACCATTAATTATTCCACTTTATAAGAAGGGATGTAAGTCTCGCTATAATAGTAATAATTGTGGGTGGGGGGATTAGCATGACTTGCTATAGTACCTGTAGTAGAGAAGCAAGATGAGGAAGGTGATGTGAGTAAGGGAGAGTGATGCTCAGGAAGGCTTCGTGTGCTTTTGGAAGTCTGTGGGTGGTTGCTACTTCCCGGCTGCCCACACCGTGGAAGTTGATTGATTCTTCGGGAACCTGAAACAGAAAGAGTGTTGCGTGACCGCAGAGCCCAGGGGACAACTGCTTGAGGCCGGTCATACGCGGCCTGTTTTTGTTTGTTCTTTCTTGTTTGGTGTGTCTCAGTAGCATATTTATCACTTCTGCCCTGTGGCACAGCAGCAGGAAGCGCGGTCGTTGTTAATCCGGGCCCCGACCGATCCGGCATGATATTTTGTGAATTTTTTGGAATCATAGTATTGGGTTGGGTAGCTGCTTTTTGTCTAACCTCTATCCAAACAACTTTTCTGGCATGGTAGGACCTACAGGAACATAAGTTCCAGCCAGTGTAGCTCATTGGGTCATTGCGAAATGCAAGCCCGGCCACCACGTCAAGGTAGCAGCTATCGGTACCTAAAGTTCCGGGTTCAATAATCATGCGTAGACAGAGCGGTGCTTCAGAGAAACAAACCAATGAAAAGCAGTCAGTCTTTAGGCCAGGAAGAGGTTGTATTGATCATATCTTCACTCTTCGACAGATTCTAGAGCATACTGGCATCCAACACTTAACATACCTCTTGACCTGGCGGCGGCGGTGGCATTTGACTCCGTCGACTGAGTGGTGCTGTAGTAAAGTCTAATCGTGGAGGGAGTATCGGGAAAGTTTATCGCGCTGATCATGTCTCTTTACTCGAATCTACACTGTCATGTAAGTGCTTATGGGGATGGCATTCTCATCTGATTTGTTGATAACAAGTGGTGTTCGTCAGGGATGCTTACTGTCCCCATATTTGTTTAATTTCACCATAGCTGTATTAATGGAATTGATTCTAATTGACAGTCAAAGGTCTTTTCAAAGTCGATGAAGTTGAGATATAGAGGTGACTGCCATTCCAAGCTTTGTTCAATGATGATCCGTAATGTGGCGATCTGATCAATGCATGACTTGTTTCTCCTGAATCCATCCTGTTCCGGTTGAAGTTTTTCATCCAGGGCATGTTTGATTCTCTCCAGGATGATGCGGCTTAGTATTTTGCTTGGGATCGACAGGAGCATGATAATATAATATTATTTTAATAATTATATAATATAATTCTAATTGACTCTACCGACTTACGGGTAGTGTTTTTACGAAGGCACAATCTCGTGAGATTCGAGTACGTGGATGATATTGTCCTTGTAGGTGAAGACTCTGACAATATGTAGTCTTCTATGAGATTATGCTGCAGAACTTGTATACACTAACTCCTAGTTTAAAGATAGGAATTGAAGATGTAAGGGCGTGTTGACCACTTCATTTATTTGGTAGTACGCTTCTTGCCTATTGGACTGATTGGTGATGAAATCTCAGTAGGGGTATAAGGACTTACGTCATCTGTGGAGTAGACGTCATCTCCGTCTATCGGTCAAACGAAATGTGCACTGCACAGTAGTCTGCTTGTCCTCCTTTATGGCTGTGAGACATATGGCTATTGAAAGTTGGGGATATGAAAAGGCTAGCAGTCTTTGAACGCAGATGTTCGCCTTCCGTCTTCCGTGTCAAGTGGGATAATAATAATGATGACTAGTATTTAATGCCTCTACACCACTGAGAACGATTTAAAGCCGTGTCGCTAACGGTCTCTAAGCACTAACTAAATCTTAGAAACTCGAGATACCTCCCTATATGGCTCAAACTAGCACTCACAGACCTCATTGGTTGTTGACAGGTTTTGGTTTGACCAGCTCTGACTCTCTTCCGGACTAATATCTTATCGCCTAACCTTTCCGCATGAGGAAAGAGATGACTGACATGCGTAACAACTGACTCAACCATCTCAATAGATGCAGCGTCATAACCTCACCGACTGACTTTCCCTTTTTACTTAAAACTCCTTGACCAACTTCAATACTGATCATATTAATATATGTGTACAACTTGGGTACTGTGGTAGTAAATAATTCCATATTAGTTTGTTTATTAGATATGTCACACAGTCAGTGAAATAGTATTAGTATTTACTGGATGACAAAGTTTCGATCAAAATTTGTTATTCATAATCATGTCATCAATTATAATCACACGACTCCGAAACTTGGGTTTTATAGTTTTCTTTGTTGTCTCGTATTTGTCTTCGTTGGGGTAGTAGAATTTTCCAAATGGCCGTCTGGGACAGGTTTCGAATCATTCCTATTACGTGTTTCCAGTTGATTCGGTAAACAAAACTTCCGCTATCAATCTTCCCCATTCGTCACCTTATTACATTAGATTTGAATTTATCAGGGTAATTATTAAGTTTCAAAGCTTCTCTTATTTGCCTCACTTCCTGTGTTAGATTTTCCTTGGTACTACTTAGTTTTGTGCCCTATTGTCACTTAAACATTCCACCAATCCTATTTTCACTGACATAGGATGGGATGATCGGAAATTCAAATATCAGTTTGAATGTGTGTTTCCTGTAAATACTAGTGTTTAACTTCCCATCTTTTCCTTTTTACGCTACAATCTAACATTGGAAGTTCCCCTTCCTGACTTTCCAATTCATAAGTGAATTGAATTGCCTCCACCTTTGAGTTTATGTGTTCGAAAAATCTATCTATATCCTGTGTTCTAAGTACAGTGAATGTGTCGTCTACATACCTCCATCATACTTTTGTAGTGGGGCTGAACGTTTCAGTCGCTATGTTTTCCCACCTATTCATGAATATATCTGCCACAACCGGGGATATTGGTGACCCCATGGTAACTCCCTCAGTTTGTTTGTATATTTTCCCCTGGAATTTAAATAGTGTGGAAGTCAGGCATAGCTGCACTCCCAACAATATGTATTTAAATTCCAGGGGAAAATATACAAAGCCATTTTCAATCGGTGTATCCCTCAAAAGAGTGATTTTTTTCATCTACCGACTGAAAGCAGTAGAATTCTAGAAAAATTCTACTACCCCTACGAAGACAAATACGAGAGAACAAAGAAAACTATAAAACCCAAGTTTCAAAGTCGTGTGATTATAATTGATGACATGATTATGAATAACAAATTTTGATCGAAACTTTGTCATCCAGTAAATACTAATACTATTTCACTGACTGTGTGATATATCTAATAAACAAACTAATATGGAATTACTTACTACCACAGTACCCAAGTTGTACACATATATTAATATGATTAGTATTGAAGTTGGTCAAGGAGTTTTAAGTAAAAAGGGAAAGTCAGTCGGTGAGGTTATGACGCTGCATCTATTGAGATGGTTGAGTCAGTTGTTACGCATGTCAGTCATCTCTTTCCTCATGGGGAAAGGTTAGGCGATAAGATTAGTCTGGAAGAGAGTCAGAGCTGGTCAAACCAAAACCTGTCAACAATCAATGAGGTCTGTGAGTGCTAGTTTGAGCCACATAGGGAGGTATCTCGAGTTTCTAAGATTTAGTTAGTGCTTAGAGACTTCGTTAGCGACACGTCTTTAAATCGTTCTCAGTGGTGTAGATGCATTCAATGTTTGTGATTTCTCAGATCCCCATTATTTTCCATATGGTTAGTTTTTGTTTTGAGCATTTCTGTTCGTTATAGTTTTTCTGGATTTTTGCTTTTCATTGATCTTGTTTTGTTATATGGTGTGTGACAATTTTGATTTCTGCACTTCTGTGCATAGTTCTACTCTGAAATTCAGTTAGTCTCTTGAAAAACTGAATGCTATGATGATGAAATACAGTTTATCTGAAATATTAGTTTTATTAAAGTAGAATGGTTTTGTGGAGGTATTGATGTTAGGCTCTGTGCGTTGATAATATCTTCAGGCTATCTAGAAAAATCGATACCTAGTGATATATTAGTGTACTGCAATCGAATGTGTGTCTGTTAACTTAGTCTGAGATGCCCACCAGATTTCAATTTCATGTCAATTTACTTATGATTCTACTAACCGCAAGTTCCGTTTTCAATCTGTTAATTAGGAAGAAATTCTCCTACATCGTATATCTATCTACAGACGGCAATCAAATCTAATTTCTAATTGACCACTAGTTACTCATTTGGACGTTTCTTTGTTAAGAAAGCAATTTTATACGCACTTCAGCTGTAACTTGAGAAACAGTGTTATCTTCACAAAAGCTCAATTTATTACGGTTTCAATATAGCGAAAATATTCATTCAGACATCTATGAAACACAAAATAATTGAGCAAAGAATATCTACCTTTTCGATAATTTCCTCTTCTGGCTCTACAATTACACAAATATGTTTATATACATAGAATATTCCAGATTAGTAGCCAATAACAATATTAGTGTTTTTTTAAAATAATATCGATTTGCAAAGATCAATGGAATTACCACAGTAGATTAAAGATGCTTAAATTATAATAATAATAAAGATATAATAGCAAAAAGAATATCAACTAAAATTAGGAAAATTCTACAAAAGTTGAGGATCATTCAAACCTAGATGGCCAAGGTAAGGAGAGTGTCTGAACTAACTTCTTTTAGACGCACAAGTTAGGC